TTTAAAAAAAAAAGTGGGGATGTGGATCAGTGGGAGAGCACTCGCCTGGCGTGTGTGAAACTCTGGGTTCAGTCCCCAGTACTGGGGAAGAAAGAAACGTTCAGTCTTGGGTTCCGGAGGAGTGAGATAATGCAAACAAGAAGACAGAAGCACTCAGTGTAGCCTTCAAGGACGTGACCTTCAGACTTGAGGGAGTGTGAGAAATATTGCTATGGAAGAAAGACAGAGTTCATGGTGCTGCCTGGAATAGGAATCAAGTGCTGTGCTGGGGGGGAGGGGGGTTGAGGGACACAAGAAATGCCCACAACCAGAGATAGGCAAGAATTAACCATTTTTTGAAAAGATAGGATTCTATAACACTGAGCTTGGAAGAGCAAGCATGGTCGGCCCAGGTGAAAGTCATTTCTTTGACTCAGCAGTTGCTTTAGCGCTTACGCACAAGGCGTAGCTTAGGCACTGAGTAGGACAGTGAGCGCTACAATCTGCCTCAGAGACGCATTCTAGTGGGAGGAGCCAGAAAGGAAGGAAGAGGAGAGCGTCACATGAAAAATGCTAGGACAAAAATGACAGAGAAGGTAATGAAGGTTTTCAGGTGTGCTAAGTTTTAGGTGGGGGGTGTCATCACTGAGATGGAGAAGGGAAGACAGAGAACTGAGCCAGCCATGATGTGCAGGTGCGGTGGAAGAGCCTGTGGGCAGAACAGCACGCGCAAATGTCCTGAGGCAGCTGCAGGCCCGTGTGCTTGAGCGCTGGCCCAGGCCAGTGTGGCTGTGGTAGAGGGGGAGGAAAAGTAGCAAGAAACAACATTGGAGGGGGGCCGGGAAGACAGCTTGGCGGCCTAAGCGCCTGCCTGGCAAGCACAAGGACTCAAGTTTGATCCCCAGTACTGCATTCCATGTAGGCCTGCACCAAGCCGGCCACTGAAACTGGGCATGGTGGTACACACCCGTAATCCCAGCACTAGGGAGGCTGAGACCCTGTACCAATTAAATACATAAATAAATAAGTACATAAATAAAGAAACAACATTGGAGAGGGGTCAGAAAGTGGAAGGACTAGGAAACCATTGTACGGACTCTTCTCCAAATGAAAAAGGAAGCCAAGGAGCAACACATCCTGACTTCCCTTTTAAAGGCATCATTCCAGTTATTCCAATGAGTAAAAGGGGAATCAGGGAGACCTGTTAGGCTACTATGCCTGCACACACACACAAATCCCATGCACACAGGTCACCATGGAGGTTTGAGCCAGGTGACAGCAAAGGGCATGCTGAGTGGAGATCCTAGATACCCACGGGTTAGAGCTGCTAGATGTGGGTCCAGGTGCAGAGGATGAGAGGTAAGGAGCAGGCAGGACTTCTGCTCTCAGCAGCAGGAACCTGAGGGGGCCGGAGTGTGAGGAAAGACAGACAGGAGCTCAGCGTGAAATGCCACTGAGCTGGAGCTCAGGGATGCCGGGGAGCAGTTGGATTTGTGTGAGTTTGGAGTTCAGAGAGGCCGTCAGCATGCAGATGGCAGGGGGAGCCACAGAGCAGTGAGAAGAGAACCAAGCCTGAACTCATGTTAAAAAGTGTGCAGGAGGGCCAGGGAGATAGCTCAGTGACCTGAGCACCTGCCTGGCAAGCGTAAGGTCCTGAGTTTGATCCCCAGTACCAAAAAAAAGGGTGGATGAAGGAGTCAGATGGTGTGGCACATGGCTATACTCTCAGCACTCTGGGAGGCTGAGGCAGGAAGATCAAGTTCAAGCCCACCTGAGCAACTTAGTGAGGCCCTATCTCAAAGAATTTTTTTTTTTTTTTTTTTTTTTTTGTGGAGCCGGGGCTTGAACTCAGGCCCTTGCGCTTGCCAGGGAAGCGCTTACTCAAAAGAATTTTTAAAGGGCTAGGGTCATAGGTCAGTGTGGAGGCTTTGGGTTCAACAATCTTTTTTTGGGGGGGAGGGTTTCAACAATTTGTAGTATTAAAAAAAAAAAGAAAGAAAGAAAAAATGAGAGTGGAAGTGCCAAAGAATTGTCAGTGCAGAAAATTCTAGAACTTTAGAGTCCCAGTGGAAGAACACAGGAAGACAAATGGTGATGGCTCAGCCTCTGGTTGGACTAGCCATGCAGCCTGACCATGGCCTGCCTGCTGGGAAGGGTATGGGAGGCATCTGGCCGGGCCCCATGTGGTGGAGAGGGGTGTGGTGCCTGAGCAGGGCGGTCCTTGCCTCCTGTGCTGGCTGGGGGTGCAGGTGCCCTGGTGTGCGTGCTTCACACTGCATTCGGGAAAGGAGATTCTCAGCAACGCAAAACTTCAGAACTGCTTCTGCATGCACTGAGCAAACTGGGAGCAAATGCTGTTTCTGGAGGGCTTGCTCCGACTGTGCTGAGCAGTAGGATGCCCTGTCTCCCACTCACATTCTGATCCTCCTCGTCTTCTGGGGTTCCTAAACAGGCTTTCTTTTCTCTCCTGTTCCTGTGCCTTTCCGCAGCTCCAGGGGCACTCCCCTGCGCCCTCCACCACCTGATACTTTTTGATTTGCCGGGAAAGATCCACCTCCAGGAGCTCCTCTTCCAGGAAGCTCCCCGAGATTGCCTCACTGGAGGCCGTGTTCCTCGTCCACACTTCTCCCACAGCCCTGGTTATTCTGTTTGGTGGGCACTGTACCCAGCCTGCTTAGCCTCAGCTTCTGCATCTGTAGGATGGGAGTGATAATGCCCACTTTCTGGTATTGTTGTGATGGTTAAATGCACCAGTTTGTGTAGGTGGCGGACTGGTTACCGGGGAGCTGCTGTTACTGTTAGCAGTAAAAGCAGTACGCTCTGTGGGGCCAGCACATACGGCTCAGTAGCATTGTTGAATAAGTAACCCAAAGACAGAATCCTTGAGTGGAATGTACTTGGGACTATTACTGTCCTTCAAAAGCCCCAGCACTGCTAAGCTCTGCGCCACACACCTGTAGCCCCAGCACTCTGGGAGGCTGAGGCAAGAGGACTGCCGAGTTTGAGCCCAGCCTGGGCAATGTAGCAACTTACCAAGACTGTCTCTAAATAAAAAATAAAAAGGAAGGCTAGGGTGGAGCACAATACCACAGTCCTGGGTTCACTCCCCAATAAAACATAAGCCCCAGCTTTCGGCAGCTTGTGCCATCTGAGACGCCAGGCAACAGTGCCCATCATTCCCTGGCTCAGGCTCACCGTCTGCCTCCCAGCTCTGCGCTGCATGTCACCTTCCCCATGAACCCATCCACTCAGACCTTCCACTCCTGTCGCCTGTGCCTCCAGGGCTTTCCATTGCTGTTTCTCAGTCACCTCTGGGAACTTGTCCCCCATGGTCTTTTTCATGTCCCTTGCCTGCTGTTTCCTGTCTTCTTTCACACTGTTAACTGCTGCCATCGCTCCATGTCCCCAACCTCCAGGAGACCCTTCCTCTGTAGAGTTCATCTTGCCTCAGCACCCGAGCCCCCTTGGCTTCCCTCACCTCTCATCCAGCCTGGGATCTGTGCTCCATTTCTTCCCCCAACCCTAGCCCTGCAGTCCTTAGCTTCTGCTAAGCTGGCTCAGTAAAGCCCTGGCCCCAGGGACCTGCATTGTCCACTCTTCTGTCTGCAGAACTGAGTGCTAGCAGGGCCGGGAGGTGGCTCAGTAGGATAAGCGCTTCCCTGGCAAGCGCGAGGGTCTGAGTTCGATCCCCAGGTCCACCAAAGGGGCCGGGGAGATGGCTCAGTGGAATAAGCGCTTCCCTGGCAAGCACTAAGGGCCTGAGTTCAATCCCCGGTTCTGCCAAAAAAAAAAAAAAAACAAAAACTGAGTGCTGCGGGCAGATGCACTGGGGGAGGGAGGACAGGCCCGGCTGCACAGGCTCCTCAAGGGCCCCTTTTCATACTGCGAGCCTGTTCCCCTCCTCCTCCCCATACCCTGTCCTTCCTCTTAGCAGAGGCCCTCATCCCTCTTAAGAAGCCACTGGGCCAGGCAGGTTGGCGCTTGCCTGTAATCCCAGCACTCAAGGCTGAGGCAGGAGGATCACCCTGAGTCTAAGGCCAGCCTGAGCTCCATAATGAGTTCCAAGGCCACCTGCACTGCACAGCAAGTTCCCCTCCCCCAAGAAGAGGAAAAATCAAAGCTTTTGTAAATAAAGAGGGGAAGGGGTTTGAAGGGAGAGGAGGAGAACAGGAAAAAAAGAAAAGCAGGATATAGCACATACAGGTACAAGTTCCCTATGATGAATGTTATCATTGTATATATCTAAAATGTATCAATACGAGCTGGTGAGATGGCTCAGTGGTCTATTAGAACAAGCTAAGCAAAAGCACAGGGACCGCAGTTCAATCCTCAGCACCACATGCCAGCCCGCCCCGCCCCCTGGTGGGCTGAACTGGCCACACACTAAATAAATAAATAAATAAATAAATAAATAAATATTTAAAAAAATAAATAAATAAAATAAAATGTATCAATAGGGGCTGGGGAGATGGCTCAGTGGGATAAGCGCTTCCCTGGCAAGCGCAAGGGTCTGAGTTCGGTCCCCGATTCCACCAAAAAAAATAATAATAAAATAAAATAAAGAAAACCACTGGACACATCCCTCTACCACCATACCCTCAGGCCACCTGCGCTTGACCCATCTTGTCTTCCCAGCCTGCCCCTGGTGAGCACATCCTCCCAATCAGTCCTTTGTTGTGGACACCTGGGGAGCATTCCTTTTTTTTTTTTGGTGGAACTGGGGATTGAACTCAGGCCCTTGCGCTTGCCAGAGAAGCGCTTATTCCACTGAGCCATCTCCCTAACCCTCCTTTAAAAAAAAAAAAAAAAAAAAAAAAATGTATGTATTTGGTACAGAGTCTCACTACACAGCTTGGACTCATAGTGATCCTCCTGTTTTCAGCCTCCCCAGCACTGGGATCACAGATGTGTGCCACCATGCCTGGGCTCTGGAGAGCATTTCTTAAAAAGAAGGACAAGCCCAGGGTGCACCTAGCTCACCACCCTGCCCCATGCCCCTCAAAGGGACAGTTGCTGGACAGTGGAGACATAGGGACCCCGCAGCTGTGTCTTGCCATTCCCTGCCCCCTCCCCTCACCTTCAGCTGCGGAGCAAAGGAGAAGAGGAATGTCTCTCCAGTACCGTAGAAACCTTTGCTGAGTCGGAGAGCCGAGGAAGAGAAGGCGCCAAACATCTGGAAAGCAGAAAAATATTCAGTTGACAGCTGGAAAGGAGATAGGGATCCTCCAGCAATGCCACGTGGGGGAGGCGGGCAGAGCTGGGTGGCACAGCTTCCGCCATCTTCCCCACTACACCCTTTTCTCAGCACTGCAGGAAGAGCTCTGGCCAAGGTTGCTTCTGGGCTACCAGGATCTTCCCATTTTTTCTTAAATATACTCATTTTATACAAATGATAGACAACAGAAAGAAAACAAGACAAGGGCCAGCGAGTTAGCTCAGTAGACTAAGCAACTGTTTAGTCAAGTGTAGGGACCAGGGCTCACACCGTTACCACATGCCACGCCGACCCCACCCCCAAGCACACTAAGCTGGCCACAGAGACTGGGCATGGTGGTTGCATGCCTGTAATCCCAGCATGGGGAGGCTGAAAACAGGAGGATCACCATGAGTCAGCTGCATAGTGAGACCCTATACTAAATACATTAAAAACAACAACAACAAAACCTGAGGCAAGACCATCTCCAGCCCTCCCTTAAAATATGAGGATCACTACTAGTCAGAGCTGCATGGTGAAACCCTGTACCAAATACATTAAAAACAAACAGAAACGAGACCATCTCCAGCCCTCCCTTGTTCCTTCCCAACTTTCCCTTGATATTTTGGTGCATTTACAACCTAACACCAATCTACACATTTTGATACAAAAGATGACATGGCTGAACATGGTGGTTCACACCTGTAATCCCAGCACTGGGGAGTCTGAGGCAGCAGGATCTGTGTGAGTTCGAGGTTAGCCTGGGCTACAAAAAGAGTTCAAGGCCAGTCTGGACTACATTTTTTTTTTTTTTGTCTCAAAATGAGACAGAGACAGAGAGACAGGCAGAGATGACATGCTACGTGTCAGGGTACACACTTGTAGTCCCAGAATTCTGGGAGGCTGAGGCAGGAAAATCATAAATTCAGGCCTAACCAGGTCAACTTAGCATCTGAAACAGGTACTATCTCAAAAATGACCCACCAACATCAAAGGGTTGGGAATTTAGCTCAGTGCAAAGACAATGGGTTTTATCCTTAGCACTGAGAGAGACAGAGAGGGAGAGTGGCAGAGACAGAGACAGGCAGAGATAGAGACAGAGACAGGATGAATGTGAGGCACCCGTTTAGTAAGCTGCTTCCCCTTCATGTTTATCAATTTCACACATTCAGAAAAGTGCAGGGCAGTAGATTCCCTCCACCTAACTCAACAATTTTAAAGGTTGTCTGTTATATTTGCTTTCTCTCTCTTTGTATAGTTCTCTGATCCATTTAAAAGTAAGTGGAATGGGGCTGGTGAGATGGCTCAGTGGTCTAAAGCACCTACTTAGAACAAGCTTAGCAAAGCACAGGGACCGCGGTTCAATCCCCCAGCACCACATGCCAGCCAGCCCCGCCCCCTGGTGGGCTGAGCTGGACACACACACACACACATAAATAAATAAATATTTTAAAAAATAATAATAAAAATAAAAGTAAGTGGAAAGCACCTGTGTGGCAAATGCAAGGTCCTGAGTTCTATTTCCAGTAACAAAAAATAAAAATAAAAGCAAGTGGAATAAATAAATAAACGTAAGTGGACAATAGTATGACCCTTCACCCCAAAACAGATCAGATCCTAATAATGGAGACTTCCTCTTAGATAACCACAGTACTTATTATAATATGCAAGACAACACTATTCTGTAATATTATGTCATCAGTGCATATTCCATTTTCCCCCAGTTATCTTTAAAGTGCCATTTACATCCTGCTTTAATGAGAAAAAGTTTTCAGCACTGGGGATCAGGCGCAGGGTCTCATGAATGCTGGGCAAGTGTTCTCCCTCTGAGTTGCATGTACAGCCCATGAAGAGGAGAACTTAGCATGTCTTATAGCCGTGGCTCCTGCCTGTCCAGGTCAGGGGCCCTTGACTTAGGAACTCAGTTCATGCCTAAGGCCTGGCTGTAACTTGGGTTGCCAGTTTTCTCCTGTACAAACTCAGATCTCAGTGTCCTTAGAGAGACATTGACCCAGGATTTTCAGTGAACTCCATACAGGAAAGGATGTAATGTTCCTTCCTCTTTAAGGGTTCAATCTGTATCTGAGACCATCTGGACGCATAAGCAGCCAGCATTTAGGTCATTACTCAAGACTTTGGTTATAAGTTAAAGTTCCATCCATAACCCAAGTTGTTCGTATGTCAGGCTGGTTGTAACTCAGGGGTCCACTACTTCACCGTATGGAGTGAAACTGAATTCGCTGTATGGAGGGGCTCTGACTCAGCCACTGCCCTCGGAGAGTTAGGTGGGCTGCAGGTCTGCACCATGCTACCCAGTGCTGAGTGGCAGAGGCAGCATGGTGGGGGGCATCTGTGGGGAAAAGGTTTCTGGCTTCATAGTAGAAAAAAGTTCTTCATAGTCAAGCTGGTTTTGGCATGGAAAGGACTCTGCAGGGAGTGAGCTCCCTGGCCCTTGAGGGTAAGTTGTCCTATCAGACAGCTTAAATGACCTCCTTCCTTCTGCCTGGAGAACCTTCCAGAAGTTCCACTACAGAGAGATTGCCCAGAACACAGCCAGAGCCAGTTCAAAGTTACTCTCTTATTTTTATTTTTATTTTTATTTTTATTTTTAAAATATATTTGGTACAGGGTCTCACTATGTATCTCAGACTCACAGTGATCCTCCTATTTGTCAGCACTGGGATTACAGGGGTGCACCACCATGCCCAGACTCAGTGGCCAGCTCAGCACACCCAGGGGGCCAGACTGGTACAGCGTGTGGTGCTAGGGAGTGAACCCTGGTCCCTATGCTTGCCTAAGCAGGCAGTTAGTCCACTGAGCTATCTTGCTGGCCCATCAAGGTTCCTCTTGTGAAATGTTGTGAGGAGGTGGCTGTGCTGCCTGTCTCTGCTTCTACTCTCATCCACTCTGGTCCAGCCTTCCTCCATCACTTGGGGGATCTTTTCCAAAAGCACAAGGATTCTGAAAGCTCAGATAACCTGTTTAAGCAGTCTCCATAGTTTCTAAGAATAGGGATGCAGTTTTAGATTTATAGTCTAATTATTTACTTGACTATAAATATCTAACCCCTCTTCCCATTATACCATTAGCTCTAAGAGGACTGGGATCATTTCTGGGTTAAGAAGTTTAAAATAGATACAAATCAGGCATACCTGTAATCCCAGCATACTGGGAGGCTGAGGTAAGAGGATTACAAATTTGAGCACAGCCTCAACAACTTGGCAAGACCCTGTCTCAGAAAGACAAAATAAAAAAATTTAACAAATTAAAAAAGGGCTGTTAGGCATGGTAGTAAGTGCCTCTAATCCCATGCTGGGGCAGGAAGATCACCACAAGTTCAAGACCAGCCTGGGCTACAAAATGAGTTCAAGGTTAGCCTAAACTACATAGTGGCTGGCCAAATAGCTCAGCGGACTGAAGCACCTGTTTAGTAAGGCACAGGGGCTGGGGTTTGATCCCTGGCATGCCATGCTAGTCCCGCCTCCAGGGCACCTGAGACTGGGCATGGTGGCACTTGCCTGTAATCCCAGCAGTTGGGAGGTTGAAAACACAATCTGTGTAGTGAGAACCTATAGACGCGGTACTAAATACAAAAATAAACTACATAGTAAGACCCTGTCTAATAAAATCCAAAAAGGGCTGGGGATGTAGCTCAGTACAAAGGCCGTATGTTCAATCCCTAGTACAGCAAAATAAATTGATAGATAGATAGATGATAGATGGACAGACAATACCTAGATGATAGATGTGTGAATGAACAAGGGGGGATGGGCTCTGAGTGCCAGTAGAAGTGACTTAGCCCACCACCTCAGCCATCTCGTTGCTGAGGCTTGGCTAGGCAGGCCCAGTGGTATCTGGCTGGAGCCTACAGAGCCCTGCTCCACTCACCTGCCCCTCCTGGTCCCTGAGCACCAGCAGCACCGGCCTGCTGCAGCCCTCCATCTGCCGGTACAGTCTCCGCAGACTGAAGCCATCCCTTGATGTGCTGAAAGCCAGACTCCAGGGGTGGCCTGTGACCCTCGGGGGCAGGTGGAGGCTGAGCTGCGGGTAAAGCTAGAGGTGAGTGAGGGATTCTCTTCCTGCTACTCTCCTTCCATCCGAGGACTGGGGCCAAACAGCACCACACGTGGCCAAGGTGCTTGACCATTTCTGTGGACTGCACACCAGGCAGCAATAGCCCTTAGAGGTAGAGTTTTCCCAGTTTACAGATGGGAAAACTGAGTCTGGTACATGAGGCTACCAACCCAAACTTACAGGGGCAGTAAGTAGCAGAGCACAGGAGGTGACCCTACTCGGGTCTCTCTCAGTCTTCTCTCCCCTCAGTCACCCTGGTCACCAGAGGACAGAGAATTGAAGAGATCCTGAGCCCCTCCTTTTAGCCTGCCAACCTCCATCTTCAGTTCTCCAGGGCCAGTGCCACCTCACAATTTTAGCCAAGCAGTGTGCACATCTAGAACCCCAGCACTCTAGGAAGCTGATACAGAATGACTATGAAGCCAAACCCAATTTGGGCAAATTAGCTACTTAAAAAAAATCCTGTTTCAAAAAAATAAAAATAGGAAATGATTAAGGATGTAGCTCAGTGGCAATAGTGAAAAAAGTTATCTTTCTCCGCTCCTAAAGGGCAGAGGCGGTGTCTGTATCCCAGATCGTTTCACTAGAAAGGTAAGGAAGGCCCGAGAGAAAAAATGATTTTCCCAAGGTGAGCCAGGGAGCTGGGGACAGACAACAGTGACCTCCGTGCTCCTGGGTGTGGCTGGCGAGGGGAAGAACTCCAGGGCCGAAGTCCTGGTGTGTGACAGAGCCCCAACCTGCCTAATCTCCGAGGCACCCAGAACCTGGCTGGCTTCTGTCAGCTGGGGTTCCACAGGGGCTTCCGGATCAGGGACAGTGGCTGCAGCTGCCTCTTTCTTTTCTTCCTCGTCCTCCTCATCCTCCTCCTCGCCATCCTCTCCGCACAGGGCATCCTCCATCTGGCTGGGCTGAAAAGACACAGGCCTTATGGTTGAAGAACAGAGACACCCTCTGTACCAGCTCCTGAGCCCGAAAACCTCAGACCCTTCCTGCCCCCTGCTCAGGGCCCCGCGAGGTCTGGCTCAGCTCAGAACATGTGTAAGTGCGCATGACAGCCAGGCTTTGGCTTCCTCCCTCCACTGCCTGCAGAAGGCACACATCCCAGCCCAGCACCTCTGAGCTGCAGCCGTGGGCCCTGCAATTTGCCTGCCTGTTGCTCTGGACCCAGGCTAGAGCCAGGGAGAAAGCTCTGCGCTGGGTACAGGGAAGAACAGCCAGAGCAGCAGCCCAGGGCGCTGCATCTGAGTATGGCTGTACGTGAAGTAATAATGACCCTGCCAACGACGACAGCCATGACGCTGATGCTGATGCGGCCTGTACTGGGCCCAGCCTGCGTTGCATACTTGCCACCATGGTTTCTTTGAATTTCCTTTAAAATCGTAAGATTGTGCCTTTAATTTCTTCATTATGCCGAAGAAGCCCAGAGCACAGCTGGCAGCTAGTGAACCCATGCCTGGACTCACGTGTGGGACAGACTATGTAGGTCTGGGTAAAATGTGTTTGTCTGTGTGAGTTGTATACTGGTCTCAAAGAGGAATGTGAAAGCAACTGAGGGTAAGAGCGTGGTCACTGTGAATTTGTGTGTTCCACGTGTGTGTTTTGAGGTAGGGTGGGATGTTTGAATACAGGTGTGTTGTCAGTGGACATGCAAACTGGTGGTGTCATTCAGCGGAGCTTCCACCCACTATCCTTGGGTGTGTGCTTGAGTATGTGTTTGTGTGTGCGTGCAGGTGTGTGGGGATGTGCGTGCAGATCTCCCACAATACCAGCAGGCTTTCTGTGGAAAGGAGCAACCTCTTTGAGGAGAAATGCCTAGGAAAGAGCCCTTACTCTAGATAGAGCTGCATCTGCCACCCACTGTGGGTAAAGGGACAGAAACAGTGATCTGCCCCTTCTAGGTTCCAGGACCACTGTGGGGCTGGGGCTCAAGTCCCTCTGACTCAATCCTTGCTCTAAACACCTTACCAAGGGGAGGGACAGTAGCAGGGGACTGCCCACCAGCCTGCCTCCAACCTCATCCAGGCCTCGTCCTACCAGAGACCCCAGCCTCCTCCCAGCCTGAACCCCGCCAAGCAGGACCCCTCACCAGCCGAGTGTACCGCCAGCGGAGCCCTTTCATCCTGCGTTGTCGCAGCCAGCAGAGCAGTGAGCCTGTCCTGGGTCTGTGGGAGGAAGTGCTGCCAGTCAGGCCGAGAGATGAGAGGGAGGAGCCTGGGCCACACCCCGCTGGCTCCATGCCCACCTGCTGCCCTTTGCTCCCTCTCACTGTAGGCCCAGTAGTCACTGGGTGGGTCTGCAAGCAACGTGGCATTCAAGGCCTCACTCAGTTGGCATCTTACAGATGTCAGCCATGCACAGTAAATTCCAGCTGTGATACCCTTCTGCCTCTTTGCCCTGGTGACCATGGTCAGAAGAAGCCCAAGGCCCAGAATGAAGGTCCAGGGCCCCTACTTTCCTATATGACTGTGAATAGGTTGTGCATCCTTGGTCTCAGTTTTGCCACAGGTAACCTCTAACACATTAGACCAGACTCTCCAGAAGCCTCTACAGGACTGACACCTGCAATTCAGTTTCCTCTCAAAGCCTACGAGTGAATCATAACAGAAGCTTGAAAAAACATGCCCATGTTAAAGAGAAAAACTTTTAATGTGAACTGGGGTGATAGAACACTCATCTAGCATGTGCAGGGCTCAGGGCTGGAGCCTGAGCACTAAAAAAAAAAAAGAATTTCTTAGGAAAAGTTACTGGGGGCACTGGGGAGATGGATCAGTGGAATAAGCGCTTCCCTGGCAAGCGCAAGGGCCTGAGTTCAATCCCCAGTTCTGCCAAAAAGAAAGAAAGAAAGAAAGAAAGAAAGAAAGAAAGAAAGAAAGAAAGAAAGAAAGAAAGAAAGAAAGAAAGAAAGAAAGAAAGAAAGAAAGAAAGAAAGAGAGAGAAAAAAAGTTACTGATAGAGCTGGGTACGTGGCCCTTCTATACCTGCCCAGAGGTGGCGGGCCCTGGCCCTGCTGGAGCTGCGAAGGCATGTCAATGATTATCACACACCACAGTGACTCAAATCCAGCAAACACACAAACAAGACCTTGTCACTGTCTGGTCCCTAGCTCTGTCCCCTCTAGTACAACACAAGTTTAAAATGCCTGAGGCATTTGTCCCCTAGTGCATGCACACACACACCTACAACCTCTGGAATCAAGGAATTCACATCCTGGTTTTCACCACTTGGCTACGTGTTATGTGCCCTTGGGCAAGTTAATTAACATCTCTGCTTCAACCTCCACATCTGTAAAATATTAATACCTACTCCTAAGGCTGTTACTAGAATAAAGACAACAGACATACATGTCTGTAATACTAGCACTCAAGAGTCTAAGGCAGGAGAATCCTTGTGGGTTCAAGGCCAGTCTGGGCTATACAGTGAGTTCAAGGCCAACCAGAATGAGAATGGATTAGTGAAACCTTGTCTAAAAAAAAGGGGGGGGGGGGCTGGTGAGATGGCTCAGTGGTCTAAAGCACCTACTTAGAACAAGCTTATACATCTTAAAGGTATACAATTTTTGTCAATTATATCTCAATAAATCTGTCAAAACAAACCAAAAGAAAAAAAAAAAAAAGAACAAGCTTAGCAAAGCACAGGGACTGCAGTTCAATCCCCCAGCACCACGTGCCAGCCAGCCCCTTGCCCTGGTGGGCTGAGCTGGCCACACACACACACACACAAAATAAATAAATAAATAAATAAATAAATAAATAAAATAAAAATTTTTTAAAAAGATTAAAAAATAAAAAGAAAAAAAAAAGAAAGAAAGAGCTAGGGAGATGGCTCAGTAGAATAAGCACTTCCCTGGTAAGCGCAAGAGACTGAGTTCAATCCCCGGTTCTGCAAAAAAAAAAAAAAAAAAGAATAAAGATGATGCCTGAAGACTTGAGATGTGAGCCAGGCTTTCATCATCTCTCCCTCAATTCTGTGAGATAGCCCACAGTACCTGGCATTTAGTGAGAAAGAATAAATGGTGCTGCATATTACTCTGGCCCCTACCCTACCTCTTTCAGATATCCAGGTCCAAATCCCTGACTAGACCCTACTCAGCTTCTACCTGGCTGCCACTAAGGAGCAAGGGCCTGAGTTCAATCCCCTGTTCTGCCGAAAAAGAAAGAAAGGAAGAAAGAAAGAAAGAAAAAAGAAAAGAAAAAGGAAAAGTTACTAGTAGAGCTGGATATGTGGCCCTACTATACCTGCCCAGAGGGTGGTGGGCCCTGGCCCTGCTGGAGCTGCAGGCTCTCAATTTCCTCTGCATCCCTGCTTGGTCCCCAGATAGCGGGCCACACCTAGAACAGCCACTCCCTACCTGGCAACCCAGCAGCTTTGGCTCTGAACTGTTGTCCCCCAGCAGGTGTCTGCACTGGAGCCACAGCCTGCTCCAGGCCCGAGGGCCTGGCTCTTATACCCGCCCAGAGGTGGTGGGCCCTGGCCCTGCTGGAGCTGGGAAAGCCTGTCAATGATTATCATACACCACAGTGACTCAAATCCAGCAAACACACAAATAAGACCTTGTCACTGTCTGGTCCCTAGCTCTGTCCCCTTTAGCCTAGAGGTTGGGAATCCTGGGCTCTTTTGCTTTTATATGGCTGGAGCTTCTCACTCCCTTCTAGGGCCCAGTGGGCACTTGATGCCTACCACTGAGGGCCATTCCCTTAAGATTAAGATTAAGATTAAGGCCGGGGAGATAGCTCAGTAGAATAAGTGCTTGCCTGGCGAGCGCAAGGCCCTGAGTTCAATCCTCAGTATTGCAAAAAAAAAAAAAAAAAAAATTAAGATAGTGTTCCCCAAGTTACCTCACGCTGCTGTGGGCAGCTCTGCCTCCCCCCACAGTGAGGACTGTCCCATCCTGAGGATGGCTTGAAGTCAGGAACAGAGGCCTGGTGCATAGGAAGCATTCACTCAATGGGGGTTACTGCTCTGTCCCTGACTCCCAATAGGGCCCCAGTGACTGACGTGTCCTCGAATCACAAAACTGAAAGCTGGTAGGGGCTTCAGCCAGCCCTACACTAAGTGGCTTCTGCCCAGAGCAGGATAGCCTAGAAAATGCAGCCACCTGGTGATGAGCAGCATCAGCATCCCAGCATCAGCATTAGATGGGTGAGTGAACCCAGTGTCCCACAGGCGCTCACTCCATCTTCATGCATCTAAAAGAACCCTGTCCCTCGGACCTAGGTCCCCAGGTACCCTTCCCTGGTGGTGTCCCGAGACAGTGCTCCACCAGGAAGTCTGAGATCTGCAGAAAAGGACTTGTATTATGGGAAAAATAGGAGAGGGACTGACCCTGTTGCCACCTCAAACATGGCTGTTGCCAGGTGTGTTGAAGTTGTAAACAGCTCAGGCGCCACAGGCCTGGGGCTTCCTGCCACCTCTCCCTCCGTGCCTCTCGACCCACTTCCAGAGCCTCATGCCTGAGTGGGCACTTTGAGGAGCCCATGGGGTTTTCCTGGCTGTCTCATTCTCTGTCCTTATGTCCAGGAAAACTCAGTATGGAACAGGCTAGAACACCCTTGCCAAGTAGCAACTCCTAAAAAGCTACCGTGGCTGGGCTCCAGGGGCCGGAGGCCCTGACACCACTTCTGCCTGCAGCTTGCCATCTCATCCCCCAGACCTCATGGTACCAGTCATCTCCCAGAAGCAATGTCAGTGTCCAGGGAAAGGGGATCGGTGAGTGACCCAGGGAACATCTACTCAGTGGATTATTCCCAAGTGTTAGAAATGATGTTTGCAAAGAATTGTGTGTGCACACTGGAGACTATCATGCCAAGTGAAACAAGCTGGACTTAGTTAAACACGGCATATTCCTCGCATATTCCTCTTCCATGAGAAACCTAAAATATCAGTGACTAAAGTGATGAAGGTAAAGGAGAGAGGACAGTAGACCAGAAGACAAACTCTTGGACAGGGAGAAGAGGGCTGGATGCAGAGGAAAGGGATTGCAAATGTTGGAATGATGCTCTATGCAGATACCAAATCCTAAAGAGGATCATCACTGTTCTGTATTATAAACCTGCACTAATAAAAATAATGTATGTGCAGCACCACTGTAGCAATGTGAAGGAAAGGTGAAAACATAGCAGAGAAATGTTCCCTGGGTGAAGTGGCTTCACCTTGAGCCCCTCACATGCAGCTGCCGGCCTCACAGATCCCATGCACAAGCGCTTAGCCTCCTGGGCTGTGGCATTCGCACTCCCCGAGGCTCTCTTTTTAGGCTCCTCAGCCTCTCACATGGCCTACTCCTTCCCTGCCACAGCCCTGGCTTCCCTCCTCACTGAGCAAATAGAAGTCCTGTCAGGCCACCTCACCCTTGCTCACTTTGCTCATCCGTCCTCCAGGATAGGGAAGACAGCCTGCTCCTTTCCAGAACCAGACCCCAAGCCTGGCCTTGGCCCAGCCCCCACCTGCCTGATGGTCCCTGCTGACCCCACACCCGCCCACAGCTGCTCCATTTTCTCTTTTCCTCCATTGTGCTTTCTGTTCCCTCCTCAGTCCACTCCTGATTTTTCTGTCCCACACCCCTGCACTCCGTCTTGGTTTCATTCCTGGCCACACCCTCTGTCTTTTGCAGCTAGTTTTTCCTCTTTTACTCATTTTCTAGGACCAGGAATTCTTAAATCTCTGGTTCCAGGGCTGGTTTTTCTTCTTCCCACAGACCCTCTCTCTAAGTTACCTCACTCGGCCTCAAAGGTTTGAATGTTATCTATGCACAAATGACTTCCTGGCTCCAGATCCAAGTGCTACCCTAGGCTCCACATTGGAGTGTTGATGACCTATCTGAGTTCTCCATTTAGATGTCTCCGCAGACACCCCCAAACTGGACATGCCCCCCAACAAAAAAACCTCTTCGCCCCCCCCCCCCCCCCCGCAAGCCCAGTCCTCTCTCCCTCTGAGCAACACCAGGCCTGCCTTTCCTGGCATATGGGGTAATCCTTTGTCCAGTCCTACCAGGAGTCAGCTGGGTGCTGCCTCCTCGACTCCCAGCGCATCTCGGGCCACCCTCTTCCTTCCCTCTGTACTGCTTTGGCCTTATCCAAGCCACCCTCAGCTCCCAGGACAGGCTTAGCGGTCCCCACCACTATCTCCAGCACCTCTTGTCGCCTGTGAAACAATTTATGTACTCCCAGACAGAAACACAACTGGATTGCTCCTAGCCCGTGTCTCCAGGCAGCTCGCTGCTGCCAAGCAGCCAAGCCCCCCTCCCCGCTGCTCACCCACCCGTGTGCCTGTCCTTTCCTGCTGTCTCTAGCGCTTCCATCTGTGTGGACTTCTCTCACTTCCGAAACATCTATCACACTTCTCTCTTCTTCCCTCGACCTGAGATTCTCTTCTATCTCTGAACCCTTACAACAACTCAGTTTAAAGCCTACCTCCTCAGAGAGGCCTCTTGGATTATCTGTTTAGACAGATTTCCCTGAGAACTCCTCAGCCAGTGGTTTGTTCCTTTCATGGTTTATACGATTGAAAAACTTACTTCATTAGAAAAAAAAAAATCACCTCCTCTTGGAGGTTTTCCATGAACTAGTCTCCATCAGTTTCTTTCTTTCTTTCTTTTTTTTTTTTGCAGAACTGGGGATTGAACTCAGGCCCTTGCCAGGCAAGCTCTTATTCTACTGAGCTATCTCCCTGGCCCTTCCATCAGTTTCAAATTTACCAGCTTGAATGGGAAAAACAAAACTGTTTTCCCACTTGGGTGACTGTTACCTTTGTTGCTTATACTCTGTCACATAAATTCTTTTTTTTTTTTTTTTTTTAACATTTATTTATTTATTTATTTGGCACAGGGTCTTGCTATGCAACTCAAAACTCGTAGTGATCCTCCTGTACTGATGCCTGACCTGGACAGTTCATGGCCCACAGTGCTGTGCCTGAATTGGATAGTTTTTTTTTTTTTTTTTTTTGTGGAACCAGGGATTGAACTGAATCTGATAGTTTGTAGCCTAACAGCTCCATACTTGGATGGCTGTAGGTTCAAATCAACAGCACTCCTGCCACTTCCAAGCTCTGTGACCTTGGTCATACATTCCAGGTACTCATTGCTGTGTAACAAATGGCCCCATAACTTGATGGCTTAAAACAGTATTTGTTTTGCATTTCAGATAGAGTCAATGAACTAACTCAGATCTGCTCCACTTGTCAGCTGGGGAGGCTCAGATGAACTGAATCATCTCGTGTCTGGTGGTCAGTAGGGCCAGAGCTAGAGGTGTTGCTGGAACATCTCATGTGACCTGGGCTTCCTCCCCATGGGCACTGGACTGTAAGGGTGAGTGGGGAGAGAGAGAGAAAGAGAGAGAGAGAGAGAGAGAGAGAGAGAGAGAGAGAGAGAGAGATAGATCCTGGTACATAGTAGCCATGGCAGCAACAGCTACCCACCTGCATATAGCCAGTCCTGTGCTCCCAGTATACCTGTTCTGAGCCAGCTTAAGAGTCCAGAGCCCGCACCACTACTCCACCTAACCCCTGAGCTCCTGCTCACCAGGCTTTGCTGTCCCCTGGAACAGCAGCGACTCCCCCTCTCCTTCCCCACTTCCAAACAATTACAGAGCAGGAAGAACACTCAGCCTCTGAGCAGGCAGGAGTGTTGGGATGCACAAAGGATGAGTGATAGAGCCAGAACTCAGGTCCTGGTCCAAATAGAGAAGAGTAGGCCACTCTAATCTCAGGACCTCTTGTGTGGCCAAGTGTGTGTCAGGGGTGGCTAATTTCCTTGCATGGACTCAACCATTGAACACTTCCAAGTTCACATCTGTCCAGGAGGTGAAACTGAAGCACAGAGAGGGGCAACTGGCTCCAAGAGTACACTTTCTCTGAGCCATACCAGAACCAACCTAAAAGAGCAGGGACATCATACCTGGGAGGACCTTGTCTTCCAGTGTTTTAGACCAGACCAAGTGGGGACCCAGAGGCCTGGAAAGTGGAAAGGCCTGCCCGAGGTCACCAATTGAAGCCTTCCATGTCACTGCCTACCACAGCTGCTCCAGAGCCATGCAGGTGGCCCACCGGATCTGTGGACCATCTCCCCTACACTGTGTGCTCCACAAGGCCAAGAGTGGGATAAGCCCACTCTGATGCCCGTGTTTACAGGGTGTATGTGGGGAAGTGGGGCTGTTCTTGCCAGGAAAGGGTAGAAATGCCCCTAAGGAAGTACTGAGTAGCTCTACCCTTCTCCTGGCTGTTGTAGGAGGTGGGGGGACACCCACACACTTGGATCTGGATGAAGTCATGCTTTGGCCAGAAGGGACCCCTAAAAGGAGAGCGGACAGAGACAGCATAGTTGACTTGGTGCCAGGTGTGTGTGTGTGTGTGTGTGTGTGTGTGTGTGTGTGTGTGTGTGTGGTGATCCATCAGAGAGGAGAAGAAAAAGAGCAGGAGGAAATGGGGAAAGAGGAGAGAAAAGAAGAGCAAAAGGAGGGTGGCAAGAAAGCAAAAAGGACAGGAGAAGAAGAGGAGGATGGCACCCTGCCCTCCTAGGAGTGGGGCCTTTCTAAGAGGCTGGCAGAAAGAACTGACTCAGCCTCTTGCTTTGCTGTGGTCTGGGGCTAGGATAGCAAGGTACTGCACTGGAGTTGGGGAGGTGGGGTGAGCGGAGGAAGCTGCACCAGACTGGAAAATCCACAGCGCATCAAGGAATCTTGGAGACAACCCTTGAAGGAAAGAAACTACACCCAGGAGAGCTGGGGCTTCTGGGTCACCCTGAGTTGGGGGTGGTGTTCCGAGAGACTGTGGGAGACTCAGGGCAACCTCCCTACCCTGTGCCAGCCCTTACCAGAGCCAAACTCTAATCCCCAAGCATCCACTGATCTGACACCTCCTAATGGGTCACCTCCATGTTAGCCATTCGGGGCTTCAAACTTGGATGAAACCTGGATTGCAGGCGGTTAAGGCGTGCAGACCAGGGCATGCACTTCAGGTTGCAAGCTCCCTATGGGAGGAGGAGGGAAGCTGAGGCAGGAGTCCGAGCGCACCCTGTAGGTTTGGGGTTGGGTTCTGTCCCGTCACTCCCCCCACTTATCCACCCCCCCGCCCCCCCCCCGCCCCCGCTCGTCATAGACCCGGAGGCATTCTGGTGTCCCAGCGGGCCTCCAGTTTACGCATCTGTACGATGGGATCGCTGGGCGCGCTCAGCAAGGTTAAAGGGGGCGGAGTTCGCGCACGCTCAGCACAGGGCGAGGGGCGAGGGGCGCGGTGCGGGGTGTGCATGGATGCGGGCTCCCGCGCTCTGAGGTCCGGCCGGCCTCAGCCGGGGAACCCTGGCTCCCGCCGCTCCCGCGGCCCCTGCCCGGACACTGGGCGCCGGGTCGCGTCCGCCGGGTGCGACTTCCCGGCCCGCGGGGGAGGGGACGGCAGCGGAGCCCAGGAGGACCGAGCTGGGGCCGCGGCTGCCCGGGCCCGCCTGACCCACAAGGGGGTCGCTGTTGCCTCGCAGATTCCTTCCTCGCTCCCAGCCTGCTTGCCTCCCCGCCGCTCCCGCCGCGTCCGCCTTTTGTTCGCGGAGCCGCGCGCCCCCGAGCCGAGGCGG